GCACAAACCTCCACGAGGCTAGCAATGCTTACCTAAAAAATGGAGGATGTTCATGATTTAGTTGCAAAACATATTTTCAAAATGATCTATAGTTATAGTTTCATTACAAAAAGTATTTTAACATTGATGTATCTGTATGACAGAATGACTGTGATGTATTATCAAGCTGAAATGTCTTGTAAGAGTCTCTGTACTCTGGTTCTTTAGAAAACGTGCTTTCCGGGTCTGGTGTGGGATCATTCGAGTAAGGTTCAACTGTATCCTGAGTGAGCATTTTTCAAAGTCAATATTATATAATGTTGCTTTTTAAAACCAAAATAAACACTTTTACTAAAGGTTGTAAATGACAGGAAGCATTGTTGTGAAGACGTGCTGAACTGGGAGTGTTAGAAACGGTAGGATGCTCTTAAAGAGACAGAGGCCAATTTCAAGCTGTTTAGATAGACTACGATGCAAAATCAAATAAATTTTGATACAACATTTTCATTATAACTGAATGTAACATAGTTACTTGACTGTGGTATAAAATTTAACTATGTGCCTGGAAAATACATAATCCCCCCCACCCATTGTTTTTGTTGAGGAAATCATTGCAATGTGATCCAGCTACAAATACTTGGACATGCTTGTTTCTCTCAACCCTTAAAAGTAAACATAAGTAAATGATTAAGCAGCCAGATTTATGATGATTGGTGAAACCAAATGAGTCAATTGACTAAATAAAGGAGTCAGAGTGAGCAGTGAAATGAGAACCCTGAAGTGGGGGAACACACCCAGAGCTTTCTAAGGGAAGATTACTGTGTTGAAAACTTGTTTTTACAGCGCCAAAGAGATGACAAATGCTCAACCAATGTCCTTGGAATTTTCCCCGCACTGTTTTTTCCACGGTTGCGATAATAACAGCACAAAGCGATAGGCCGCCGCGTCCCAAGCATTTTAGCCTTTTTATGACTCCCAAGTTTCATTCAGCTCTGGTGTTGTTGTAACATTTCGCTTGATGAGGATTTGCTCCGACAAAAATAATCACAGAGTCGTTTTGGCACGGAGCAACCTTGGACGAGATATAAACCGTCACTGCAGATGGAGAGAAAGAATGTTGACACGGAGAAATACGTGACTAAACTTAGATTATTTGAAGTTTTTTTTTTCTTCTCATTTCTCTCCTTGGAGCTTATCTCTGTTGGCGTTGTTGCGTTCATTCGAGGCACTCTGCCAAGAAGTTACATTACAATCGCTGGTTGACATAAACGTGGGTGTTCAGAAGGACTTGGAGGGTCTAAATACTTTATTGTATGTGTAATGTGAACTGAGCAATTATGTCTGCCAGCCTTTCAAACAAAAGAGCTCCTATCAGGCAGGTTCATGTGTTTTTAATTAGCCGTGTTTTTTTTTTGTATGTGTGTGTGTGTGGAAACTAATCACACAAAACCAAACATAGAGCCAAGATGACCCTGAATTGCTGCAGTTTAGTCTAATGTTTTATGATGAGATGATAAGAGAAATAAAATACAGATTAGTCATGTCGTGAGCTTTTTGTGGTGTCTATATTCGGTTTTTCATTCCTCTAATGACTTGTTGTTTAACCAGCGTTTGCGTTATTTTACTACTTGGCTGTTTTGATGCCCTAAAAACTGTCGAAATGTAAATGGAGTTTTCTTTTTTTCCGGCTGGAAGGAAACTTGAGGATAATGTTTACTAGCACATTGGAACAATTTGGCAGCCTGTTACCCTATTCAGCACAACGCTGCACTAATCCAGTTTAGAAATAATTAGCTGCAGACTAGCAGGCCTGTGAAATTCCTTTTCCAGCTCGTAAATGTTCCTGTCACTGCCTCGATTCTTTGCAGCTAAAAAGTCAACATTCCCTTACAGGAAATTCATTTCTGCCCAGAAATGTTTGTCATTGTTTTTTTTTTTAAATTCTTCCTGTATAATAGAGTTTATTCAGATAAAAACAATAGTGGTTTTGCTGCAATATGGTGAGAATCTCACAATTCTGAGTGAGTCATTTGTGATATACTTGTGTGAACTGATTAATGGATAAATCCCGTCCACTGTTTCCTCTCCCTCAGCTCCTAACTTGAAGGGACGACCTCGAAAAAAGAAGCTGTCCATCTCTCAGAGGAGGGACTCCCAGGGTCAGGCTCCGGGTCAAGGCTCTTCAGGGTCGAGCCAGGGTCCAACAGCTGTAGCAGCTCAGGACCCCTCAAGTCCAGAGAGTAAAACTACAACCAAGGTGAGATTAGATAACACACAACAAACTTTGCTGATTGCTCAATCTAAAAAAAAAAAGGGGGGGGGACAAGAGGACTTTGCATGTATTACATGTAAGGATTGCAGTTTCATAAAAAAATGATAAAGCAACAAATGATTTCCACRAAATTGTTGAACAGCTGTTGAAGAGCCATTTGGGATCAAGAAATATGACAAATTTGTTGTTTTATATTAGCGCTCAGATTTGTGCAGCAGATAAAAGGGTTTTGTTTACGTTAAGCGCATACCCGCATTTCATAACTGCATATCAATACAACTGTTAAACTATAGGAGTAAACTCTTTCGAACTCAGGATAACATGTTTATTGTTTGATGTCACAGTTTGCAGTGATAACTTTTAAACCAACAAAAGGAGATGAAGAACAGTTTATTATGCACGTATTTGACCTCGTATGAACGGCAGCACAAATAAGCTGACGGTACGAGGAGCATTACGCGATAATGTCTGTGCACTCGTTTTCAAAGGCTTGGCTCGTGTTGCTAACTGGCTGATTTTCAGGTCATCGTTTTTAATTTTATTTTTTTAAGGTTCAGCTTCAGAACAAGGCCACTGCGCTTCAGCTTTCCAAACCATCTGCTGTGACCTACACAGACAGCAGCAGTGTAACAATCAGTGCACGCAGAAAACAATCACGTGACTCTGAAGGCCACCTGTTTCTCAAAGACATGATGTAACCTGACACAGGTGAAGCACAGAGACCGAGCTGTAACGAGGAAGTGTTTGACATCTTCACTTTTGAAATGATTCATGGGGGATTTTTAAAAAAGGCTCTTATTTTCTCTGGTGAACTCGCTTTTAAAGCTGTTTTAAGACCATATATTTAGTTTAGTTTAGATTTTTTTACTGACTTGTTGACTGATTAGCATCTGTTCCGAAGCAAAAGCTGTTTTCTTTTTCTGTTTTCGTTTTTTCTTCCTCCAAAACACAGAAACAGACTTAAAAAAAAAAGAGCACAACATGATCCCACTGAAAAAACAAGATGTTTATCTCATTTCTCTAAAGTTTCCATTAAAAAGAAGCAGCACTGTAAATACAGATAAATCACTGAACTGTTTCAGCTGTTAGTTTAGGAAAGAAACTAAACATTCATTTGAGCTGGAAAGAAGAAAAAAAATTAAAAAAAAGGCCTAGCATTCCTTGAAGGAATGCTTATTACCCTCCACACTGTTCACACTTTGAGATATCTCGAGATGTTGTATCAGGGAACAGATCAGTGTTATTCACCTGAAAATGTCGTTATTTGTCCAATACCAGGGATGGGCAACTTAAATGATGGAAGGGGGCACAATTATTTTGTCGATACTACCAGAGGGCCACATTGTGCTGCACACTTGAAATAAAACTGACATTTTAAAATGTTTTTTTTCTTTTGTATTTATGTTTATTAAACTAGTGCAATAACTTAAAATATTTCATGCTCAAATGGACCTGTAACCATTGTATTCTTGTTTAATTAATATGAATACAAAATATTTGAAGCAAACAAAAAAATGAACACTTAATTTAGCGAGCTGAAGTGCAACCTTGAGCGCAGACTCCTTTTTGTTTGGGGATCTGGTAAAAAAAAATCACTGTTTATTCCCTTGTGACTTAGGTCTCATATTTAGCTTTGTGCAACGTGTTGTAGTRGTGACTTATATTGAAATTCTTCTTACCCTAAAAAATATTTTATTTATTTTTTACTTTAAAAAGATTGTAAGAGCTTGTTTAAAATAAAAATATATTGTATATTTATGTACACATGTATATTTTTTGTGTGGGGGCGGGGCTTCATTGGTGGACTGGATGTGGCCCACGGGTCACTACTTGCTTATCCCTGTCCTTTACTATTTATATTATTGGTGGGGAAAAAAGGTAAAATTTTCTATTGCTGCTTTTGTTTGACTTTCCACAGTTAAATCAATATTTGCTGGGTTTTTTTTCTCAAAGCTGGAGTCAAACTTAACTTTGCTTAATGAGTGACGACAACAGGAGCTGCTTCATTGATAATCAATAGCCGAGGTCTCCTTAGTGGCCACCAAGAATATTTGTTTGCCCTTAACTCCAAAAGCATCTCATTCAGCTGTCTTTACCTCATTTAAATTTCAAAACACGTTGTTTTGTCCATCTCCGCAGGTTAAGCCCAGCTATAAAACGATACCTAACGGAAAAATAACCACGTCCGCCAGACAAAAGCCCGCCGGCCTCAGCAAGAAATCCTCGACCGAGGAAAAGGAGCGAGGAAAGGAGAAGGAGGAGAAAAGCGAGAAGAAGGAGGAGAAGAACGACGAGGAAACATCAGAGGAGAGCCGAGCGGAGGAGCAGGCTTTCTTAGTCACTCTCTACAAGTACATGAAAGAGCGAGACACGCCCATAGAGAGGATCCCCTTCCTCGGCTTCAAACAGAGTGAGTAGCACAAGCTATTCTCTTATTCCCTCACCGGCAGCGTTTAAACAAAGAAGTGCTCTACTGTAGAAGTTGTCGTAAAGTTTGCGTGCGTAGATTCCTCTGCTGGGTTTATTTTGAAAATGTAGGTCATAACATTGCCAGTGGGGAAGGTTACGAGCTGAGAGGAGATTAAAAACAGTCAGGCGTACAAAAAATAAAAACACCTGTACGACAGAATCACAAAAGTAGAACTTTGTCAGGAAAAAAAACACATTATACAACACTTAAAAAAACAAAACTTTTAACTGGGAAGAGATAAACAAAACAATATGTTTCAAATTCAAGTTTAAATCTGAGTGAAGCTGCGGTCTGAGTTGTACAAGATGGTGAACAGAAGAAGAAAAGCGCCACATGTTTCCTAATCTAATTAAAGGATTTCTTGAAGGAATGCATGTCGCCCACCTTTTTTAATACCAGTTTTAGACTAAGATCATCTTATGTTGACAAGCGAAAAAGCTGTACTTGTTTTGTAAAACATATTTCATTTCATAAGTAAGCAGATTTTCTCTTATTTACCACAATGTTGATGTGATGTGACCAGAACGGAAGCTAATAATGTAAAAATTAACATTTAAAATAAGCTTATAAAGCAATAATCAATATTAATTATTAAATGGGTTAGCAGATATTAGCTTCTGTAGCTTAAACAGAGTGTAACACTCTGATGAATCATGCTACAATTAAGCAGAAATATCAACACAGTGCAAAATAATATTATGTATTTGACTATTTTTATATTTTTATTAGACCAGTGGTTCTCAATGTCGGTCTTTGTGACCCACTACCCTGCATGTTTAAGTTGTTCCCCTGATCTTTAGCATGTCTTTAAGTTCTGCAGAAGCCTGCCTATCACTAGTTCATTTAAGTCAGGTGTGCCAAAGCAGGGAAACAACCAAAACATGCAGCGTAGTGTATTAGACAAACATGACCTGTTGAGAAGATGGTTAGCCAATATCGGTAGAGACAAGCTTCATCCTAAAGTATCACTGGGTACTCAGTGAATACTTTCAAAGTGTCGACTGGTAAATATTTTTCCTCATTATTTATGTCAGTAAGAAATTATAAAAACACTTTATTAGTTGAAGTCATAATTTTTCAACTAGCTAAGAAGTCTAAGTTAGCAGCTGACTTCATTGTTACATAATTAGATCATTTTCTTGTATATATATGCTGATTTACATAACTGTTTAATGATATGAACATAATTAATAATTATATCAATTTATTGTAAAATATTACAAATGATTTGTGACACAGATCCAGTTGGGCTCGCAGTTTTTCAAATAKCTCCTATGATAGCTGTGAGCCCTGTATGGTCGCCATTTCTACTCCTCCACAGATGCTAACAGGGGACGGGATAGGCAGGGCTCACTCTAGTGTTATTTAACTCTAATCTTAATGTGCACAAACTCAAACTGTGTTATGAGATGTTGCACTCAGAGTGTGTGTTGTGAATGACTCTCAGCTAACTAGCTCGACACATCTCTTATACTAATTTATAGTCATTTTTATGAGGCTAATATCAGTTAGCTTTGGTGACCATCTTGAACTGGGTTGACTCCCAAAATCCCCCAAAGTAAGTCATGATAAATTTCTGAAACTTTCATTAAAATCCATCATTAGCAGTTCATGAAATATTTCCGACACTCTTTCTTTGCCTTTCAGCGATCATGAGAAGGAAGTCGAGTCCGACTTTATTCTGTTCAGGAGTTTTAGAGATTCAGAGGAGAAAGCTGCCAGTTATTGCACATATTTTAGCAAAAGTGTCAAAAAATGCCTGGCTGTTAAAGAGTCTGTGGTGATAATAAACTCAAGGATATAAAGTCTTAAGTGGAAAAACAGCTAGTTTAAAAAAAAAGAAAAAAAACTCAGGAGGCTTTCTGTCAGAGCACATTTTAGCTAGCTTTCATGTCGGGGAGAATATCTTCTCACACTTGTCAGAAGGTTTTCCTGCGAAAGGCCGAGAACGCCCTTTAACAGCTTTAAAGAACATCACATGCATGGGAAACACGTCTGCCTGAGATGAAAGATCTCTAATATAGGTCGGACGCTTAGCTTGCACTGGAGGTGCATGAGGCAGAGTGGAGGAGCGCGCACGTAAACATCATAAAAAGCTCACTCTGCTCTCTGGCAGGAAAAAAAAAGCTGTTTGTTTAAAGGGTTTGATCTTGAGAAAAGACACATCTCAGCTTAGATTTTCACATTTCAGTGGGAACTCAAGGTGATGATGAAGGAGACAGGAAATATTTAACCGTTCAGGTCAGAGTTTAACAACATCAGTTAATACAAGTTTCAGTAATCCTCCAAAAGAACACATATCACTCGTGTCTTTTATTTTAAAGTTTTAGACTAACATTATCTACTTGTCTTTTTAGTCAAGCCAGGAAAATAACATTATGTGCAAACTCGTGCAATGTCATGCTCAGTGCATGACTCTCAACAACCACCACATCAAACTTTACTTCAGTATCTGTTAAATTGGATGAGTTACAGCACAGTTTGTGTTTGCAAATGGTAATTAGCTGTGGCAGCCATCTTTAAATGGATTTGCTCCAAAATTTAATCAGGTGTAGAAGTGTAACCAATTACTTTTTCTTGAACGTTTCATTAAACTCCATCCAGTGATCCAGAAGAATATTTTGCTAACAGTCCGACAGAGTTGCCTCTAAATCGATACAGTCCACAATTTAAATAAAGATCTTGTACAAACGGTTGTTGCTCATAATATATGTTGAAAATAAGTCTCAGCTACGACCTTGCCAAATCTTTACCTAATTTGTGTAAAACTCATTGCATTATAGCTGTTTTTGTGTTCTTCAGGATGAGTTGGCTGTAGCAGCCATCTTGAATCAGATTGACTCCAAAAATTAATCACTTGTAAAAGTTTATCCAGTGTTTGCTTTCTGAAATTTTTATTAAAATCCATCCATTGGTTTATGAGATATTTTGCTAACAGACGGACACACAGAGAGACGTTTGCAAAAACATGATCATCTGCTTTCAGCAACAGGTAATAAATAACTTAAGGCAGGAGAGAGAGAGAGAGTATTGAATGTATCATTGACAGTTTATAGCACTGTAAAACTCATTACTTTAAACTATTACATGAAGGTAAGCTGTGGTCTCCTTGACTCTGCTAACACCACCACAGTATTTTGACAGTCCTGTCATCTTGGCTGCCAACATGTTGTAGCTTTAATAGGTCGTTGTGGTTACTGGAGATAGAGAGATGGGGGGGGKGGGGRGGGGGTGGGGGGAGAGAAAGAGACGGCAGGAGAATTATACCCCAACACGCTTTACTTTTAGTTGGCATTTCTCCGTTTGAGCTCTGAATAAAGTCGAGGTTCGCGTTCAAGCTGTTTTACATACAGCACATGCTTTGAATCTCAAAACCAGACACATCATAAGCAAACGCCCTCATTAAATGTTAAAATCATGCTGTTTTAACTTCGTCCTTGGCAGCAAGTGCACATCAGCACATGTAAAGAGGAGTGGGGAGGAAAAAAGAAAAAGAAAAACACATCACAATTAATACAAACCCTCAGATGTAATCAGCTGCCATTTTTCATATTTTCCCCTTTTAATCTCCCTACAAATACATTCTAAGATCAAAGTATCCACTTTCATGTAATGGAAACTGAATTTATGCTATTTTTGTGGCGTTTGGATATTAACCTTTTTTTATAAAGCTTTTTTTTAGGAGTTTAACAATGTAGCAGATGTTTAAATGGTTTTCCAGGCTTGTCCATCTGATTTACTTCCAAAGGAAATAAATTTATTTAAGTTTGAATGTGATCTATGGTTGTATTTCTGTAGATCCCAGCAGACTGATAGAAACTATTATGTTTCTGTCAGTCTGCTTTCATGTGGAGCACTTCATACCGTATTGTAAATGCTGTAATTGTGTGAAAGATGACTCGGCATTCGCATGATTTTCTTCATTCTTCATTTAGACATTCTTATATCAAAACATTCAGCTCATTCAGGAGATGGGTGCTACATGTTGTGTAACTTTTATCCTCTAAAATATTGAGCTAATGCAAGATGACTGCCTCAGCTAAGCAACTTCAGGTCAGTAAGTTTTACAGATATTGAGCTAAGGTTTGATGTGTAGCTGAGAGTCACTCAAAACACTTACCGTATTTATTCAAGTATATTACGTAAAATTAAATCCATAAAATCATCCATAAAGTTGGGGGGTAGTACTATACTCGGATAAATATTTTTACTTATGTATTTTAACTGAAATATCGGCTTCATTCACAAAATGCCTGAGTCTGGAAATGAGACCACGACGTAAAAAGCAGTTGAAGCGAACGTACCTCTGAAACTCCTTCGTGTCTCAGAGCGAGATAGTAACAGATCCAGGCACGTGACATGATGTGAAAAAAAAGAAAAAAAGTAGTCCTGCACCTTAGTAATGATAACGGACTAATGACATTAGCGTGTGACCGGGCCGCTCCTCGAACAACAACAAACACATGTTCATCTGTAATGGCTGCCATTTACCGGTGTTCTGAAAAAGTTTGTATCCCTGAAAAATGTTTCCCCACCAGAGGGGACGCTCATGAGTAGGAAGTAATCTGCTTTTCCCCCACAAGATGGCCTAAATCTCATGTGAAGTCTCTGACTTTTGTGTTGGCGCCTCCTGGTGGACTATGTGTAAAATGCCAGAATTCATATGATGCTGCTACAGCTGATATATATTTGTTGWCAAAATACCTTTTAGTACATATGTTGTTAAAATAAAATGAACAGTCCAATGATCATTTTACTGATATGTATAAAGACTGCAAAGGCTGAAAAATCTTGAAGTCTGTATGAAATTGGAGGTAGTGTGAGGATTAAATTTTTATGCTTTTTAAGCTCAATAAAAGTGGGGGTCGTATTCTACATGAGGTCGTATTATACATGAATAAATACGGTAATTTATAAGTTTCTGATCTAGGTTTAAACCTTTAACATCGCAGGCTTTAAGCATTTCTTAAAGGCATTCTCTTCTTTTAATTTTGCTTTTCAGTATTTCTGTTTGTAGACAAATACCAAATGAGTTATTTATGCAAATTGTTGTTTCTGTGAAATAATTCTTTCATTTCATGCTCTCGTTCTTTCTTTATAAATCTGCTCTATGGGATATTTTCATGTGTTAGTCATCAACAGTCTAAAGGAATAAAACACAGTAACACTTAAGAGAAAATGACTAATAACCCCAGCTACATTTCTTTTCCTGTAACTCAACAGCTGCTGCCTTTTAAGTTATAGGAAGTCTTGCAAGGAAAAAAGAGAGAGAGAGAGAGGTTGTGAATTAGAAACAATTTAAATTAAAAACAAAAGCAGTAGTAGTCACGTTGGGTATTATGAGTGTGTGTGATCTGGGAGATTAACTGGTAAGGATGTGGGTGTGTGTGTGTGAACGTGCACATGTGTGTGCCTGTGCTCGGACATCAGCATGTGATTGTGAACATCAGTTCCAATTTGTCTCACTCCTTCAGCCTTGTTGTCTAATTGCCATGCCATCGGTGTGTCATTGAGGCTGCATTGTGTTGCTGTTTTGTCATCCTTATCTCAGTGATAATTGCCCCTGCCAAACAGAGGGGAATTAAGAAAAGAAATTACTAATGACAAGACATCTAAGAAAAGGCATGTTCTCTCATTTCCTTTGTGTTCTGTCCCCTCCCAGTCCCGCGTGCGACTGTGGTAATTACAGTCGATGCATAACAAGCTAGTTAAATAGACCATCGTTCTGTTTCCACAGTCAGGGAGCACAATGCGCCAGCGTGCTCAGTTCAAACAGAAAAACCTACCCAGCTCCCTTTGTTATTCCACCCGAGCATTGACGGTCGCAGAGAGGAGGGAAGGAAAAAATCAATGCTGTCAAATGCGGAGATAGGAAAATGTCATTTTGACAAATGCAAGGCTTTGTGTACGCACAGATTGAATTTTGATGGATTTCTCCCCAGGCGAGGCCTCCTTTTCTTATTTATAGGCCTTCATAAAAAAATGTTAAACAATGATGTTACAGAAAGCAAATACAAATGTCATTGGCACAAAGCGTCCCCCAATGAACCTATGGTTCTTTGTGGGAAATATTGTCTTTTAAAGAGAGACAGCCGTTTGAAGCCTTTCCGAGAACTTATTGGACTATTTATGGTAAAATGTTACACAAAAATTAGATTTAGATACAGCCTGTCACGGGTTGTTTGCATGGGGAAATCAGTGCAAATTCATTTGCATTAGTTCAAACAGAAGTTTGAGCAAATTGCCAAGTGTTTGATCCCTTTAATGGTTTTCATTCATACCTGCAGGCTGCAGCTGAGGATTAACAAAATGTCTTTGTCAGGAAGAAGCATGTGTTTTATCTTAACACACTGTGATGTTTGTATAAGCACTCCGTATTTATTTGCAGCCTTTCAGCTGTGGTGCGGCATTGTTTTTCTTAAAAGTAATAAAAAGCTGTTTTAATTTTTGGATTTTTATTCCTGTACTAATTAAAAGCCTAGAGATTGCTCAACATCTTTATGTTATTAATGTTATTGTGAAATGTCACACTCTGAGTATATTTTATAATGACACTCAGTTACAAACACATTAAGTTGTAGCCATTTTTGTTTTTAGCCACGTTGATTTTATTGACTCCAGAAGCTAATCAGTTGTAGCGTTACATCTAATGATAACTTTCTGCAAGTTTCTTTAAAATTCCTCCATTGGTTCTGGAGATATTTTGCTAACAGACAGACAAACACAAAACATTTTCATCCACCTTCACCATTTGGTTGCAGATGACATGATTTCATCATCTGCTCATATGTTAGCAGCTGGCTGGCTAACTTTAGTCGCAAAGCAATCCTAAATTCCGCATAATGACTAAATAATTGCTGATACTTCCTAAATATTTCACCTTGTAATGTTGTTTTTACATTTTGTTATTTGAAGGATCAAAATATTCCTTTCCTTCCCTCTGGTGTAATGACTGTATATGACGTATTTTGTTTCAGCTTAAGCCCTTTCCCAGAGTTCCTAACTGCCTTGTTTGTCTTCTGTCTCCCACAGTCAACCTTTGGACCATGTTTCAAGCTGCTCAGAAACTCGGAGGATATGAGTTGGTAAGTATTCACATATGTGGCAAAAATATTCCCTCTCTTGTGTTAAGGTCCCCTCCACCCTCCATTCTTCCATCTCTGCCCCCCTTCTTTCTGTTTCACCCCTGATATTTACCATCTTTTGTTCTGATTTCTAACTCGTCCCCTCTGATGTTGTCCCCTACCTGTCCCCTTTCATTTTGTTGTTGTTGTTGTCTTTTCTTTCTTTTTTTTTCTTTTTTTGCCCCTTGAGGTCAGTCGCTATTTTCCCAAGAAGAAAGTATTGCTCAGAGCCACTTTCAGCAGAAATGCTGCTGTTGTTTCAAAACCCCCTTGGTGTGGAAAACACATGTTCCTCTGTTCTGCACGGAGCAGAAGGAAATTGGATAAATCGCTCATTTTTTCCCACGTCAGAGATGAAGTAAAGTGCGTACACATAGCCACGAGTGAGCGCCGGGCACAAGCACACACACACACACAAGCGAGGCGAGCCTGAAATAAGGCTGTATGAGGCATTTAACTTGGCAGCCGTGCTCGCCGTTTATTCATTCACTATTCATCTGCGACATGTTTCCAAAGTGCAGCCGGTGTTTGATGTTAAATCATCGAGTGTGCTGCTCATGCTTGTTTCTTCATTAACTAGCTGCACAACGCCGTCCAAACAGACAGCCAGATAAGACCGTAAACAGGATACGGCTCGTATAATTGGGGCTCATATCTTTTTAAAGCCGTCATATCTGCATTTGATTATTATATTTGTTTCATGTCGAGGCTTTGTTAGCTCAGTGGCAGATTGCTTTTTGGTGTTTTATAGCGGCACGTCGTCCGTTACTCCAATCTGTTCTGGGATAAGGGATTATAACAGGAACAACTGACTGCATGATGTTAACTTGAGCTTATTGTGTTACAGAGTTGAGTGGAGTGTGTTTAATAACTGGAACATTATGACTCAGTAAGACCTTGAAATGATGTCAGCCCTTTATGTGTTGTCCCACACCCCCACTCATATATCTCTAAGCTGTTCAACCGTTCACCTTTTAGTCTCATTTTCTTATTGTTTTATCATTTTTACACTTTTTTCCCCCCTGTTTCTTCTGTTCTTATTTGTGTGTCTTTGCATCCATTCCTCCAGATCACAGTGCGCAGACAGTGGAAACATGTTTATGATGAATTGGGTGGCAACCCCAGCAGCACAAGTGCCGCCACCTGTACACGGAGACACTATGAGAGGTGAGTTCTTCTGACCCCGAGTTTTACGACTCAGTGTGTCTATGCATGCAGTTAGCTCAGTTAGCTCAATATGATTTCATAAAGCTTTATTCAACACAAGAYAGATATTGATTTTTGTCGAAAGGATGTCAATACCTCAGTTAGCTGYTTTTATGTCGTTTTTGGTGTTTTAAAGGTACTCATTATAGAGGATGAAACCAAACATAAAAATTTACACCAGTAGTTTTTCAAATATATTAAATTCAGCTACATGCACAAATATCCTTGTATTAGATTTCAAACCGTCCGCGAATGGTTGCATGAAGTGAACCTGATCCTTAAAAAAACTGCTGAATTTTTGCATTGTAATAAGATATACACTTCTTAAATGAACCAAACCACTTTGCAAAAAGATGAGAATTAGTTAWTTTTCAGAGAGTAATGGATTAGTTGTATGGCACTGTTGGAAACAAATGTGCTGTGATTTTTCTCCCATTCTGTTCCACAAACAAACCAACCGATGAAGATTAAAAAAAAAAAAGAAAAGCTCAAAATAACAGCAGTGTTTTGAATTATTTACTGACCTACATGGATAAACATAAACACTGCATCTATGCTTTTCACTAAATGTGTGCTGCGAGCACAGAAAGCTGTGAAGTAAAAACACCACTTTAATGTATTCATTTAATCATTCAGTCAGATACTGCAGCATTTTGAACCTCGACATTATAATCACTCAGATGGTATTACCAAACCAAAGCAAGCATATGGAGATGATCCTGAGGGAACTGTATGGATATTATGCAGCACAACTTGCACACATACACACACACACACAAACACACAACATTCCCAAGGTTAAACAAATGCCAAATACCATCTTTCCATCACGAGATAACCAGCCGCTCGGTCATTCCTTCGAGCTGGCGACCCTTTCTCCATCCCTCTGGCTGTTGCAGGTTCATGCATCAGCACAGCGCAGGCACACACACACACACACACACACACACACATACACACACACAAACA